CACTCTACCACTGAGCCACAACCCCAGCCCTAGTATGGCTTTTCATTAAGACTCAGGTACATTTTACCTACTGGAATCTACTCTCTAAGTCACTTTTAATTTCTGCAAAATGGCATTGCCTGTGAATATTGAGATCAACTTTTTCTAGGCCCTTTGACTATGTGGGATTCACACAATCTGTATGTGCAAAGATGTGATCTGTACTTTCATATATATTACTAATCTCAGGCCATTCCCCCAAATCTCCATATCACTCATAATATATAATGTCCCTTCAGTCCTACACATTTCTTTATGACATTTACAATTTTAATTTGTGTGTGTGTCTGTGTGTGTGTGCATGCACTCATGCTATGGATGGAACTTATGTCCTTGCACATGCTTGACAAGTGCTCTACAACTGATCTACCTTCCTAACCCACCACATTAATATTTTACATTTATTTGTGTAAATGCTTTGATAATGTTTGACACCCTTTTAGTCTGCAGACTTTATGATGCAAGTGACTTGAGTCTGTTTGCTCGCAAATTTATTCTCAAAAGCCTTACTTATGAGTTAACACACATTAATGGCTCAAGAATGTTTCTTTAGATAAATATATGCATAAAAAATGAAAGAATAAAATGATGGCTGTCTAGAATGAATAAAGAAAAAGTATAGATGGATAGATGAGTTTATCAAGTTTTGCAAACTTCAAAAACACAGATCAAACCACAAGACCCAGAACAAATTCAGAGCATGGTGTTGTGGCTCAGAAGTTGTTGGGCACAAATGAGGAGCTTACAGCTAAAGTTATGGCTTAGATTGTCATACTGGAGTCAGAAAATCATGGAATTTTTCTTCAACCTTGTAACTCATAAAATAACTAGTACATGGTCATATTGTTATCAGATAATATTGTTGTACATGCCTGAATTCATAGCAACTTGAGAGGCTGAGGCAGGAAAATCACAAATTTATGGTCAGCTACTGCAACTTAACAAGACTCTAAGCAACTGAGACCTTGTCTCAAAATAATAATAATAATAATAATAATAATAATAATAATAATAATAATAATAATACTGTTGATGTGGCTCAGTGGTAGAGCACCAATAGGTTCAATTCCTGGTACAAAAAAAAAAAAGACAAAAGAAAAGTTATAATGCTATGTGTCGTAATTCAAATGAGACTATTAGTATGTTTTGAAACAGAATTTTGTGAAATAAAGAAAGATTTAAATAAACCAAGTGTAGTTAAACCCTCAGTCTAAATTCCAATTATAATTTGAATTCAGTGTATTTCTCTTCAGATTGCTTGCTAATTTTTCTATAGAGAAAGCCTAGAAATAAATGGTGTTTGTCAGCTCTCTATCACTATTGCAAATACCTGAGATAATTGACTTCTAAAGATAAAAGGTTTACTTTTGCTCATAGTTTTGGAGATTTCCATCCATGACCATGTTGCTTTTGAGCCCATGACAGAGCATTACATCATGACACGAGTTTGTCAGAGTACATTTTTTTTTCATCTCATGTCCTGGAAGCAAAAGAGAACATAAAAGTACATAAAGACCCTAGAAAAGCCCATAACACATATATGCTCTCAGTTCCTGGAATCCAGTATTACCAACCACATGTTGAGTTGGTGATCTAGGGAACATTAGTGGCTCTAAAGTTCAACAGGGCTTTTTTCTAACCTAGAGTTGGTATCTCCTGCTATTGAGTAGACCTCAGTGTTTTCATTGTCTGTGATAATCTCTTTTAGGGCATGATCTCAAGTGATGCAAAGGCCTTCTGCTAGACCTCATCTCTCCTATGGCCACACTGGGGACCAAGCTCTTAGCAAATGGGCCTTTGGGAAACATTGAAGATCCCAACTAGAGCAGTAATGAATTTTGCTAGCACTATGATCTCCAAAACAACATTTTGTTAAATGGTCCTGAGCCTTCTTGGAGTCAGGACTGACTTCCAGTATGTGGTAGGAAATGTAGGAGATTAATTAATTAATTAATTAATTTCCACTTATACAAAGACGTATAGATACTGTGCTGTCAAACACTACGAGGGTAGTGTCAAAACACTCAGGAGTCAGAACAAATAGACTCCTGTTTTCCAAAGGTAGGACAGTTTGAAATTTGCTATGAATAATTACAATATGTTGGAATTTATTGAAACACATCAAATATGTTTAAACCTATAAGTTCATAATGATACAAAAACAATAAACATTACTCTGTAAACAAAGTGATACATAAAACCAGAACTGCCCTGACATCAGGAACTTGGGATGTATGGACACCCTTTTGTAGGATATATCAATTATAATGTGTGTTTTTTATTTGAATTAGAAATTTATATGTATTCAACACATGCACATATATACAGTCACTGGGAAGTGATGATATGAACATTTGATACTTGATAATCTAATATTATTAAATTTTTAGGTATGATAAATTATATATTATATGTATACATATGTATTATATATACATATGTATACATATATATGTGTATATATATAAAATGTACTAGGGGTTGAACCCAGGGTTTCACACATGCTTAGCAAATGCTCTACCATGGGGCCATATATCCAAAGCCTTAAATTGTTTTTCAATTAATTTTGAAATTGTTCAGCCTGATCTTGAACTCTAATCCTCCTGCCTGGGTCACATAGCTGAGATCACAAACTTAACTACCAAGGAAGTCCCTATATGTGATGGAAACATACTTTTTACTGATGAAGTGATGTTAATGACATTTGTTTTAATATGTAATAGAAGGAGGAGTGGGTATAGAAGAAAAACCTTGATGTTATCCAAAGTAGAGTTATGGGTATGTATCCGATATCATATTGGGCTTTCTGTTCTTGTTTATATTTCAAATTTTTTGATAACAAATAGTTAAAGAATCAGAAAAATATAACATATGTGAGAAGAAAATAAAAGTTTCAAACTGGAAGAAGATGTATATAGTTTAAATAACAAATGATTATTATATAGGGTATCTAATGGAATCCTAATATCAAAACTACAAAGAGCCAAATTGGAAAAATGAGCAAAATAAAAAAGACTAGTCAAAGAAAAGGAAACAAATGCTTTTTATGTATTGTACATAAAAGTACATAAAGACCCTAGAAAGTCCCATAACACATATATGCTCTCAGTTCCTGGAATCCAGTATTACCAACCACAGGTTGAGTTGGTGATCTAGGGAACATAAGTGGCTCTAAAGTTCAACATGGCTTTTTTCTAACCTAGAGTTGGTATCTCCTGCCACTGAGTAGCCCTCAGTGTTTTCATTATCTGTGTGCTTGAGGTGAAATTCTCATAAT